GAGCAACGCCTCAATAAAGTCGAGGAGGCCATCTCCAAACTTACGGAGTTGGTCAACCAAATTTTGTCAGTCAAGCATAACAACAGCGAAGGGAGCGACACCTCCCAAGTCGATCACATCAGCATCCCTAAACCACGCGCCCCACAAGATGTCCACCTTGGTACCAAACGAACTGAGATCCCATATTTTGATGGAACTGACCCACTTGGCTAGTTGTCTAGGGCTGAATAATATTTTACCATCCACAGCACGTGAGACGAGTTACGAGTTCCCACTGCTTTTATTAGCATGGAAGGGCCAGCCCTTCATTGGATGAGATGTCTACAACAACAACATCCCATGCTGACATGGTCGCAACTCAAATCTGAACTAATAGAGCAATTTGGTGGCGATTTATCTGCCCCACCAATTGAGTTGTTAGCTGCTCTTCGTCAAGTTGGTACGATGGATGAATATTGAAATGAGTTTCATGTTTGGGCTGCCCATATCTCTGGGATACCCTCTTATATCCAGTTAGGGTTGTTTCTGAATGGGCTCAAGGAAGAGATCCGTGTTCGTTTTCGCCCAAACGATGCTACTGATTTACGGACAGCAATGCGGGTTGTGCGCTCCATTGCTCGCGAACTTGATTTCCTGCACCAGGACAAACATAATATTCAATCTGCAGGAGTGAAGAGGTGGAGCATGGGTTTTGGTTTGGGTTGGACTCCAAGCCCAACGTCCGCCAATGCAAACTTGTCTAGTCCAAGCACACATCATCAGACAAACCATGCCACTCCTACGCCCAACAATTTCCATAAAACCACGAAGGGAAATATTCTTATGCCACCTTCTCAACCTCCAGGTGCCGGTATATCTTTTTAGCGAGAATCGGCTCCTTCAATTGTTCAAAAGGGTATTCGGCGTTATTCTCACCAGGAATACTAGGACTTGCGTGCAAAAGGACTTTGTTTCCGATGCAAACAACCCTACAGCCCGATGCATGTTTGTCCAAATAAATCATTGCAGACTTTAATCGCAGCAGAAGATGAGGACACTAACACCGATGACCCACCTGGGGTATATACCATGGATGATGCCCCATTACATGTGTTGGACCTGCCCCTCTCTTCCATTGGAGGTATCGAGCGCCCCCAAACAATGAAATTTTGTGGCCGGGTCGAACACAATGATGTGGTTATTATGATTGACAGCGGGGCAAGTCATCATTTTATCTCATCTGACTTGGCAACCAAGCTCAAACAACCTTTGGAGGCCACACCCCGTTTTGGTGTTCGCTTGGGCGACGGACACCAGTCTGAATCCTTTGGTAAATTTTCCAAACTTCCAGTTCATTTGGGGCCTCTTAAAATGACCGTTGATTGCTTCGCTTTTCCCTTGGGTGCTGTCGATTTAATTCTCGGGGTCACTTGGCTCGCACCTCTGGGCACTATTCGCGCTAATTGGGCTACAATGACATGGAATTTGAAGACCATGGGCAGTGCATCACTTTGACTGGAGACCCGACTCTTTCTCGCCTCCCAATCTCCTTTAACTCTGTCCAATATTTGCAAGATGTTGAGTATGTTGTAATACTTATGGACATATCATCATTTCAGCTCAACACCTCTGCCATCATTGCCCCTCCTGGGCCCCAATCAACTTAATTGGAGGAGGCTACTCAATGATTACTCGCAAGTCTTTGGTGAACCCGAGGGATTGCCACCAGTTTGACACAATAACCACAAGATTATTCTACAACCGGGCACAACACCAGTTAGCGTTAAGTCGTATCGATATGGCCACACCCAAAAAGACGAAATTGAACAATTGGTAGGTGAAATGCTTGCAGCGGGTGTCATTCGACCTAGTGTCAGCCCTTTCTCCAGCCCGATTTTACTCGTGAAGAAAAAAGATGGTAGCTGGCTTTTTTCGTCGATTATCGTGAGTTAAACAAAGTTACAGTTGCAGATAAGTACCGCATTCCAGTTATCCAAGAGATGCTCGACGAACTATATGGCTCCCTATATTTCTCCAAGATCGATCTTCGATCTGGATACCATCAAATTCGAGTAGTGCCAGAGGACATTTCAAAGACAGCCTTCCGTACTCATTCTGGCCACTATGAATTCCTCGTCATGCCTTTCGGTCTCACCAATGCTCCTGCTACCTTTCAAGCCACTATGAACGACATATTTCGCCCTCACTTGCGTCATTTTGTGTTGGTTTTCTTTGACGACATTTTAGTCTATAGCCCGAGCTGGGAGGATCATCTTAAACATTTATCAGTGGTTTTGAATATTTTACAGTTTCATGAGTTCAAAGCTAATCCGAAGAAATGTCAATTTGGTCAGTCTTCAGTGGAGTATTTAGGCCACATCGTTTCTCATGTCGGGGTGGCTATGGACCCCGCCAAAGTCTCCAGCGTCCTCCGTTGGCCGGTACCTCGATCCTTAAAAGCAGTTCGTGGATTTTTGGGATTAACTGGCTATTATAGTCGATTTATTCGACACTATGGCTCAATTGCCAATCCTCTCACCACACTCTTAAAGAAGGACTGTGTGGCTATGTTCCAATGGCCCGAGGCAGCACAATCTGCTTTTGATGCTTTGAAGAATTCCGTTACCACTTCTCCAGTCTTGGCCATGCCAGACTTCTCAAGACCATTTATTATTGAATGTGATGCATCGGGAACTGGGGTAGGAGCCGTTCTGATGCAAGAAAGCCGCCCCATTGCCTTCTTCAGCAAGGCCCTCTCTGGGAAGACTTTATCCAAATCTACCTACGAAAAGGAATCAATGTCTCTTGTGATGGCCATTCAACACTGGAGGCCATATCTCATAGGTCGTCGTTTCATAGTACGGATTGACCACCGGAGTCTACGGTATTTATTACAACAGTGTATCTCCACTCCGTCACAACAGAATTGGGTTGCTAAATTACTTGGTTATGATTTTATAGTAGTCTATAAGCCAGGCTCCACCAATTGCGTAGCAGATGTCTTGTCCCACAGTCACGATGACTTACAACTTTCCGCTATATCCATCCCCACGTGGTTGGATTGGGATGCTCTCGAGTCTGCTATTTTGGAGGATTCAACGCTTCAACCACTCATTTCCTGATTGCATAAAGATCCTGATAGCTGGCCCCCGTACAAATTGATCAACGGTCGCCTCTTCTATAAGGGTCGTATTGTGCTTCCTTCTACTTCAACTTGGACCTCTCGACTCCTCGAGGAGTTCCATTCCACTCCAATGGGGGGGCATTCAGGTGCATACCGCACATATCGTCGACTTGCTGCAAGTGTTTACTGGAAAGGAATGATGCACCATGTCCAAAAATTTGTGGCAGAATGTCTAGTTTGCCAGAAGAACAAATATGAAACCTTGTCCCCAGCTGCCCTGCTCCAACCTCTCCCTATTCCGATGGCGGTTTGGGGAGACATTTCCATGGACTTCATTACGGGTTTACCACGGTCTAGTGGGCTCGACTGCATTTGGGTGGTGGTTGACAGGTTTTCCAAATATGCCCACTTTCTTGGACTTTGACATTCGTTCACTGCTAGATCTCTAGCTGATCATTTTGCAAAGGAAATTGTCCACCTTCATGGAGTGCCCAATTCGATTGTAAGTGATCGAGACCCAATATTTTTAAGCCACTTTTGGACTGAGTACTTTGCAAAGATGGGGACAAGTCTTAAAATGAGCAGTGCTTACCATCCCCAAATCGACGGACAAACCGAAGTGCTCAACCGTTGTCTTGAGCAATACCTTCGTTGTTTTGCTTCCGAACAACCGCGACAGTGAGGCAAGTTCCTTCATTGGGCAGAATACTGGTACAACACGACTTTTCAGGGAGCTGCTCAACAGACTCCCTTTGAGATTGTGTATGGCAGGACACCTCCAACCTTGCAACAATATTTACCTGGTGAGTTTCGGGTGGCAGCAGTGGCCGATGCTCACTCTGATCGCAATGAATTACTCCGTCAACTTCGTTTTAATTTGGAGAAAGCTCAACATCGCATGACAAAAATTACAAATCGTACAAGGCGTGACGTTGCGTTTAATGTGGGTGATAGTGTTCTTCTCAAGCTTCGTCCTCATAAGCAAAACACTCTTCTCAACAGATTGAACCAAAAGTTAGCCCCTCGATACTATGGTCATTTCTTGATTTTGTAAAAGTTGAGTGCGGTTGCTTATAAGCTTCAGCTTCCATCTACCTCGAAGGTTCATCTGGTATTTCATATTTCGCAACTTAAGCTGGTGAAGGGTCACCATCCTGTTATCCAGGAGATCACTGACGAGCTTCAAGTGGAGGTGGTGGGCTACATACCCTATGACATACTAGCGGTTCGTCAATTAACCACAACTACTGGTACCACACAACAAGTATTGGTCCAATGGAGGGACGCACCAGTGATGATGCCACGTGGTTGGATCTCTCAGATTTCAAGGGGTAGTTTCCTAATTCTAGCCTTGTGGAAAAGGCTATTTCTCTGGCGGGTGGTAATGATAGAGATGCCAAAAATAAGGTTGAAAAACAATGGATTGTTTACTCAAGGAAAGGGAAAGCTAGAAAGGAATAAATAAGATATGGGAATAAAATCAGTAATGCAATATGGGAGGCATGAATAAGGGGATTTAGATTGATTCCTGGAGAGAATGGAAAGCTATCAATTAGTTATCTTACTTTATATTTAATATCCTGTTAATTTATATAGATAATAGTAATAGTCTTATTAAAAGGAGTGAGGAAGTGAGAATGAGAGGGAGGAAGAAATAATCTTAGTAGCTAGGCTATTGGGCAAGTTATCTTGCTGGAAAGTTTTACACTTCTGATGTTCCTTCTTTCATAATAAATATGTCTATTCATTCCTTTTTCTTTTAATCTCTAATTCTCTGATCCTTTACTCCTATCAGATTTTTATTCTTCCCAGAACGTATTCAAAAAAGAGTTTGTGTGATGGTTTTTCAGAAACAAAGAATCGATGCTGGCCTTGGGTGTGCTACCATTACTAGAAAATGTCCAGCAATGCGGATTCAGCAGGAGCAGCCACAGCCCTGTATCTAAACCTGTCGTGTCTTGAGGAGGCCAAGGCCATCATCGGGAACAGCGTAGCTGTCCCTTTTCTGATCTCGGTCCTGAGGAACAAAAACAAGAAGCAGTGCAAGTTAGATGCTCTTCACACCCTCTACAACATATCCAGTGAGCCGGCCAACATTCCTCACCCCCTGTCAGCTGGCATAATCGATGCCCTCCAGGCTGTCATTGGTCACCCGTGGACCGAGAAATGCATAGCCATACTAATCTATTTGGCCTCAAGTAAAAATGCGTGGGATGAGAATAGAGCAGTGCCGAGCCTGATTAGCGCGCTTGCTACTATTCTGGATGTGGGGGAGGCTGTGGAGCAAGAGCAGACGGCAGCTTGCCTTCTGATACTATGTAGTTTGGACGACAAGTGTAGTGAGATGGTGCTCCAGGAGGGGGTGATACCCTCGCTGGTGTCCATCTCAGTGAATGGGACAGTGAGGGGGAAGCACAAGGCGCAGAAGCTCCTGATGCTGTTCCGGGAGCAGAGGCAGAAGCAGAGGGAGAGGGACCCATCGCCCACGCAGCCAGTCTCCCAGAGACCCCTGTCCAAGACGGTGCCCAGGCATAAAGTGGGTAGAGCGTTTAGTTTCTGGCGGAAGAACAAGAGTTTTTCTGTGTACGACCAGTGCTGACAAAAAGAGTTTCCCGGGGGATTTTGCTTATCTGGGAATGATAGATTAAACAATTAGTTGGTGTGAATTACACTACTCTCTGGAGGCTTGGACATCATACTTGGTGTCTCAGTTGTGAATAATCCCTTGGGAGCTGAGTATCGCACGTTTTGAGATGAGGCACATGATATATCACAATACGTTCATTTGTTAGTGGTTTTCGGTCTACTTTAAGCTCCAACCGATCTGCCCACAACAGGATAGTAGGAGTATAATACATAGATCTACGTGAACTGCCTTGTTGAATTCTCACTACTCAGAGCAGCCAAACAATCAATATATCGGAGAAATAATATCAACTTCCTAGGAGAACAGCTTTATTTCGAACTCCACGGTGGGTGCAATTTATTTTTTAGTTTTTGTTTATTTATTTTTGGGGACATTTTTGTGTATACCTTTACCTGGCTTGCCAAGTGCAACTCTAGTTTGAAAAAAAAAAAAGGAAAACTCTTTTGATTTATCTGTAGCAAATCAAATAAGACATTTTCTACCCTCCCAGTGTGTCACGAGCATATCCCTTGGGATTAGCAGCACGAGCAATTACCTGTGTGGCCTCGCAGGTCACTACTGTCTGCGTCTGGCCTTTGACAATCACGAGCGCTAACATGTGTCAGAACGCCCATCTTCGAGTCCAGAGTCAGAACCAAAATCAGCCACCAAAATCAGCTGCCTCACAAGGTACTGGAGTTGGTCTCTCTGTCCTCAACATTGAGGATCATTCGTGCGCCCACACCATAATACTCGGGCTCGTCACTCCCTTGGAGCACATCGAGTGTAGTACTCAACATGGAGCCCATGTTCCTAGGTCGCCAAAGAAAGTACAACGGGTTGCCCGTGTTCGTGTATATTTTTTAAAGTTGAACCATGTATAAGGCTTTGCTCGTAGTATGTTCAAGCAAGGTCGTATCTTAAGAGATAAATTATGTAGCAAGCAAGGTCGAAACCATAGTGTCAACTTGATTTAGACGGCTGAATATGAGATGGATTGACTAACTAAGAAGATATAATCAAAAGAAATTAAATCAAGAACAAAGAATTAACTAAAAACATTTACGAGAAATAAATGAGAACGCCAGGTTTTAAGACTATGGTATTGATTAACAGTTGGGTTTATTCAGAAATATCACTATTAAATGTTTGTCCGTCTACCTTATAAGATGACCACAAATTTAGCTTATCTTCCCTCTTGATATCGATAGAATCGTAGATTAAATCACATATATTAGCGTCTACATTTAACACATTCAATTCAATTCCTACTAGAAAAAAAGATTCAGTATCCTCAAAACGACATACTAATCTCTTGATTCAATCAAGTAAATTGTACAAAATATTAAAGATATAATAGTGAACTCATGTTTCGATTTATGAACAATATTTTTCATAGATGTAAAAGCTTTGGCCAAGTGCCAAACATGGAATAACAACAAAGTATTTGGATAGAGTTCAAAAGTGAAATATATAACACATAGACATATTGGAGATCAACATAACAAATAAAAGTTCAAAAAATAGTTGATCACTTGTTATCATCCCGGATTTGACATACACTTCTTGTCATGAAACCAATTGGTGACTATTGATTAAAACAAAATATGATTAGATGTCTGATATTTATAGTTGTTTCTCCGTCATATTTTGGGTTAAGTCGATGCAACCCGTAACGGTGGCACTCGTTTTCACTATTGGCCAACCACAAGGTGAAACATCTCTTCGGATTCTAAGTGTAGCATGTCGAGTGAATTTAGATTCTTGCTGGGTTTGTTATTCCCTTTTTGTTGTATTATTATTGTGTTCTTGCTGCATTTTTCATTTTGCTTTTGTTCTATGTTGATTCTCATGAAAAATGCTTCCTTTAATTTGGGATTTCAATATTAAGTTTAGTTTTTTAATGTGGGGATGTTTTACAGAAGTTAACCTGGTGAAAAAGAAAGGTATCTATTTGCCTTCAGTGAATTGTTCTACTCGACAGAAAGATAATTAGTTTTTAATAAAACTCATTCTTCAAGAATAATTAGATTTTGGCTACTTCCTCTATGTGACCGATTTGAAGTACATAATACATAACATTAAAGAGGTATGATGCAGAAAGTGTTGAACTAACGATACTAATTCACATTTGTGCAAGAGATATGATGCAGAAAACTACATTAATTGTTTCTTTTGTTGATGAATTCTTTCTTTATGTAGTTATTATTGAATTGGAGGATCATTATCTTGCGGTGCAATGCGAAGTCTTGGAGGGTAATGGTGAAGAGCTTTACGAACAACTTATTGGATTTTCTTCAGCATTAAGCTATGTAAATTCAGCTGAGGACTTGGAATATAAGAATATCCAAATGCTCTTTCCTAAGCAACCCATGTGAAAAATTGCCACTTGGTTGTGGTGAGGATAATTCTTTTAGATTTTTAATGAATATCTAACCTTTTAAAGGTGGAGTAATACATGATACTCTTAATAGAGATGTCACCTATATAAGTGTAAAGTGGGGGCAAATTGTAAGCACTTATAATCTATACAACGATTATTTAATCCTTTTTTGTATGAAAAAACGAATATATATTCGTTATTTTGCAAAAAATAAAAATAAAATTCGTGTCGCGGGAGCGACGCCAGTCGCGGCCGCGACTTTGGGACAACATTCTCTGTCCAGGTTCTGTCATTGTATGTCGCGCCCGCGACGGTCGTCGCGCCCTCGACGACCTGCCAACAGACCTGTTAAAGCCTTTGTCGCTCACACGACGTTCGTCGCGCCCGCGAGGACCTGGACACTGGGTCTGTCATTTGTTATTTTGAAAAAAAAGGATTAAACTGTCATTGTATGCCGCGCCCGCGACGGTCGTCGCGTCCTCGACGACCTGCCAACAGATCTGTTAAAGCCTTTGTCGCTCACGCGACGTTCGTCGCGCCCGCGAGGACCTGGACACTGGGTCTGTCATTTGTTATTTTGAAAAAAAAGGAAAAAACTTCATTCGTTATGAGTGTTTCGACGGTCTAGCACCTTCAGACTATCGTTCCAATGACTCATTTCCAAATGAGGCAACAAATATAATACAATAGCCAAAATTTCTTTTATGTACATAAAGAAAGAAGAAAAACATAAATACATTTTATATCAAACCTATAACTACTGTTTAAATTCACGAACAGTTGACATGTAAATCTTACATAAATTTGAGTATATGATTACAATTCTATAGCAGTACATCAACAATTCTTCCGAGATCAAGACCAAACCATCTACACAGTAAATCACCTGTCCCAATTAAACCTGACAATCTTTTGTAAGTAGAAAGTTCACTTAGGTTACATTTTGGGTGGGAAGGATTTGGAATTGAGAGGAGGATTTGTTTAAGATTTCAAACAAAGGGAGCTGCAAAAACCCACGAAAAAACAACCCAATAAACTAACACAAAGTAAGGACTTGAGTTCGATATAATGCAAGAGTGCTGACCCGTTCAATTTCATAGAGAAAATAGCACAAAAATCATGTAAGCATGTTTGTTTAAGTCACCACAGGTCATAACATAAGAACTAGTAAAACCAGAAATCATAAAGAATAATGTGTAACATAGTAAAAGCTAAAGGGAGATTATTTTTGGTTAACTTCATCCACATAATCACAGCCACATTGCAGGTCACTCCCCATACTTTAAACTCATGCTAGAAATAACAGGATTAACCAAGATCAACTTATGTAGCTTGAAACAATATACACCATAAATTAAGTTTTAAATTTAACATTACCTTAAACTTTATTATTATTGTTATTTTGCCTACTCACACTGTCACGTGGTTTCTTACCCACAATGTTACTGAATGCTAGAGCAAATAATCAAATGTTACTGAGAAATCCTTAATGCTAGTGTGAGAAATCCTAATTACGCATAAACTGAGAAATCCTCAACAATTCGAACTCGATTTGATCAACATCCACACGAATTCATAAACAATTGGGGGGATTCGAACATATTTTGAAGAAAGATCATACCTGTTAGGGTTTTGTTGGTGATCCCCTTTTAGGGCCTGGATTCGAATTCTAAAGCAGGTAGTGAACTCGAAATTTCGTTTGAAGAATCAAGAAAAGCAGATGATTTTCGGTGGGGGGGAAGATTTTAGTGAAAATTTACACTTTAGATCATATATGGTGTAGAGCATATATTCATATTTTTATAACGCAGTAATAATTGTATATAATCTTATGGCAAGGGTTCAATTCATTATACCTCAAACATGTAAAAAAATCTCTTTTAGGCATTTTATCGAACACCTTCAAATCATATTTTTCCAAACAAACTACAACACCCTAACCTATTGCTACAAGCACACCATATATACTTCAATTCATTATTCAAATCGTGAAAATAGAAGAAAAATGAATAGAAATTATACCTTAATTGTTGAATTTAGTGATGTGTAGAATCTTTCTCTCGGTCTCGCTCTCTTCTCTTTTCTTACTC